GTAGGCCGAAAGGCAGGCAACCAGGCGGCGGGCAGCGCGCTAGCAAGGCAGGGGCTCACCAGTGGCGGGAAGAGTAGGCTCGGCGACTCGGCGACTCGGCGGTGCGGGCGGCTTGGGCGGTTCGGCAGCAACTGCGGCTCGGCGGCTCGGGCGGCTCGGCGGTACGGCGGCTCTGCAGCAACTGCAGCTCGGCGGCTCGGCGACCCGGCTGCTCGGGCGGCTCAGGTGGCGCTGCGGCTCGGGCGGCTCGGGTGGCTTGGGCGGCTCGGCAGCAGCTTGGCGGCGCCGGCGGCTCGGTGGTGACGGCGGGGCCGGGGGATGGCGGCGGGGCCGGGTGGAGCGGCGACGGGACCAGCAAAGGCGGCGTCGGGGCCGGTAAGGGCGGCACCGGGGCCGCAGAGGTAGGCGACGGGGCCAGCAGAGGCAACGTCGGGGTCGGGAAGGGCGGCGTCGGGGTCAGCAGAGGTGGCGTCGGGGCTGGGAAGGGCACCGCCGGGGCCGTAGGGGTAGACGACGGGGCCAGCAGAGGCGGGGCCGGGTCGGGAAGGGCAGCGTCGGGGTCGCCGGGGTAGGCGACGGGGCCAGCCGAGGTGGCGCCGGGGCCGGGAAGGTCAGTTCCGGGGCCGCAAGGGCGGCGCGACGCGGCCGCTAGGGCGGCGCGACGATATGGGGCCGCGAGGGGTCGCGCACGGCTCCCCAGGGCGCCGCGACGGGGTAGCGGGGAGTGGCGCGCCTGGAAGGAACGGGGCCGCGCGCCTCGGGGCGCGCGCCAGAGAGAAAATCGCCGCGCGCCGGTCGCACGCTACGGGGCGTGCGACAGATCGAGTAGCAGCGGAAGCAGTAGTAGGGCCCACAGGCCAGGAGCATATGTGCTCTAATACCATGTGAAAATGAAGGAGAATGAATCAACTATGAAAGAGTTGGGTACAAGTACTAACCCTAATTGAGTTGTACCCCTTATGTGCTACCCCACTATAGCCTACACAAAAATGCATAAGCTATGGTGTTCTGACAACACGCTGTAATTTTTTATTGCAAAACGCCAATCCCTGGCATCGGGAAATTTTCCCCAGCGATGTCTATCAAACCTCAAGTCAATGGATGGCATGACGTTTTACACACAGGTACACGTTCCGATGCTATTGTGCCACCATTTCTTTAGGAATATTCGGAGCTACTGTAAGAATATATTTGTGTAACTGCCTGTAGCTGTAGTTTAGTGTAGTTATTGTTAACTTTTGGTGGTGCACCTCTAGTTCTTGTTCTCTTGCCTTTATGTTCCTCGTTTGCTATAGTGAAACCCTCACTTCTTCTTGCTAAACTCTCTCGACTCCCTTTGGCCTATGCTACCGTACTAAGCCTAGGCCCTACTCCTACTATTCAACATGGAATCAGAGTCTGTTAAGTCCAGGCCTGTGGGCCTGCCTCACGCTTCCGCTACTGTTTTTCTGGTCGCGCGCCTCGGGCGCGTGGCGATTTTCGTTTTGTCCTGCGCCCAGGTGGCGCGTGACATCTTTTCTGCGCGTCGCGCGCCCCGTGGCACGCGACGGTGCCCTGCCCGTCGTGCGCCCCGTGGCACGCCGACTGTGCCCTGCCCGTCGTGCGCCCCGTGGCACGTGACGGTGCCCTGAACTGCCCGTCACGTGCCCCGTGGTGCGCGACGGTGCCCTGAGCCGCCGCGGACCCGCCCCTGGCGCCCGCGGCGGTGCCTTGAGCCGTCGCGGACCCGCCCTTGGCGCCCGCGGCGATGCCCTGAGCCGCCGCGGACCCGCCCCTGGCGCCCGCGGCGGTGTCTTGAGCCGCCGTGGACCCGCCCCTGGCGCCCGCGGCGGTGTCCTGAGCTGCCGCGGACCCGCCCCTGGCGCCCGCGACGGTGCCCCTTCCTCACCCGCGCCTGCACTCGGTGCAGCCGCCCCTGCACCACCCAGCGCCTGCCCTTGGAGCAGCCGCCCCCGCTCCTGCACTCGGTGCAGCCGCCTCTGCCTCACCCCGCGCGTGCACTCACTGCAGCCGCCCCTGCCCTACCTGCGCCGACCCTCTGTAGCCGCTCTTCGACTTTCTCCCCGCCTCCCTCCTCCTCCTTCGTCTCCCTACAGCCGTGGGGGGGAGGGTATGGGGGTGGCGGGTGTGGGGGTGATGGGTGGTGTGCTTCCCTTCCCCTCCTCCTTTCGTTCCCACTGTTGCAGTTGCCGCTGGGGGGGAGGGTGTGAGGGTGTGGGGGAGCCGGGGGAGTGGCACTGGGGTGGCGGGTGTGAGACCAACCAGCAGTCGTCCCGCCACCTCTCCTCTCTTCCCCCCTTTGCTGCTCCTGCAGCAGTGTGGGGGGGAGGGGGAGGGGGAGGGTGAGGGGATGGAGGGGGTGACCAGCCAGCGCCAGCCCGCCTCCTCTCTCTCCCTGCCGCCTCTCCTGTGTTCGGGGGGGGGGAGGAGAGTAAGGGGGTGGCAGGAGTGTCTTGCTTTCGCCTGCCCCTTTGCTGCTGTACCTGCTCTGTTACCGTGCCTGTTGTTGCTGGTGTACCCCTGCAGGTTGTGTTCTGCACAAACTCCTGCTGCAGGCAGTTATAGGGGAGTGTCAGAATATATTTGTGTAACTGCTTGTAGCTGTAGTTTAGCGTAGTTATTATTAACTTTTGGTGGTGCACCTCTTGTTCTTGTTCTCTTGCCTATATGTTCCTTGTTTGCTATAGTGAAACCCTCACTTCTTCTTGCTAAACTCTCTCGACTCCCTTTGGCCTATACTACTAAGCCTAGGCCCTAATCCTACTATTCAACAGCTACCAGGTACATTATTTGCAGCATATTGGCAAAGAATAAAGCTGAAGCGGTTTCGGATCCCATTTGCGGCTAAGTCTGAGATGTTTTTTTTTTTTTTTTTTTTTTTGGAAATTGGAGTATACATTAAAGAGGACAATGCATACAGCAATAGCAGTCGTAACTGAGCGTGAGGGCAGGCACCTTGCGCTGCCCAGCGAGACAACTAGGGCGGTTGGAGAGCCCTCTTAGGTCTGTTCCAGATGGCCGCAAAGCTGGCCGACCAGCTCCACTTCCTGTCTCCGACTTTCCTGATCCTCATCAGCATCTTTTGTTCTGCTTCAAAAACCCCCCTAACCTTTTTGAGTTTCCCCAGCTTGCCCGGCCTCACAACTTTCGCCCCTGTCATTCTCGTGTACACCCTTGCGTGCAGCCGGAAAGCCGTCCCGATTCTCCTGAGCACCCGCCGGGCATCTGAATTTTTGCCCACGGAAGCTCGCCTCGCAGTGTTCCACCCACAACTGGTGGAAGGTGATGGCCGTTAGTGTAGCCTCTGGGAAGTCTGACGTGGTACCAGTTTCCTGGAACAGTAGATCACCGAGCGAGGCAGATGTCCTTGTGGGGTTGAGCATGCGCAGAGCACGCCGGAGACCAGAAACCACAGGCTGAATCACCGGGCAGCTAAAAAGGCAGTGATCCTGTGTCTCAACCTCTCCACAGTACGGGCACTTCGGCTTACTGCTGAGAAAATCCACCCTCTCCCCAACCTGAAGGTTGTGGTTGTGTATACGCGAAAGGACATCACGCGGTCGGTTCGGGATGGCAAGCGGTTTCTGGTGTGGATGATTCGGTCCCAGTCTATCTTGCCGCTCCACTTGCCGGTCCACTTCTCCTGCTTCGTGGAGACCGCGTCTGGCACAGCCCACGATTCCCTCAGCTGCTTCAGGGATGACAGCTGCCCGTTCAAAAATCCCCGAACGAAAAATTGTAGCCGCTGCATGTTCCCCACCGCCGCTGTAAGTCTGAGATGTAATGCTGTAAGAGGCGTTAATGCTTTTCTACAAATGAGTCTTGTACATCATCTCTATCGGAGATTCTATTCGGCGTACGCTGCTTCAGTGGCCCAGACAACGGCTGCCTGTTCAAGCCGCGAATTCAAATGAATTGTTCCCGCCCACAAAAAACCAAACCTAGGCCCCCCACTGAGCCACCGAACCAGAAGAAATTCCCCTTGCTGCCGGGGTGCGTGCGAAGCGCTGCACCAGGGGCAAAATGTTTAGGGCGCGTTAGATCCGTTACAATGTGATTTGGCCGGAATTTGGTCGACAATTTTGTCGACAATATCTTTCGCCAAAGTCGACAACATGGTCGACTTCAATAACGACCAATATCCGGCCACATTTACAGGGCCGAAAAATCTGACACATTTGGTGGCCATTTTGATGGCCGCTTTGCAAATGTGTCAGATTTGCAGTTCGCCAGGGTCGCCGGATTGTGCGACGGAATCGGAGATGCAGTACTTGTGTGACACGTTGCGTCGCACGAGTTCGCGACGTCGTGCAGTGACTGTAGCGATCTCAGGTCGACAAATTGGTCGACTTTCGAGTCGACTGCACGTCGGAACTTTGTCGAATGCTGAACCGGCCATCAATTTTTTTACAAATGGCCGGATTTGACGAACTCTTCGAAAATCTTTGCGGATGTCGCGAATGTGTTACATTCGCTAATTCCGGCCGGCCGGATTTTTCCGACAACGGATCTGACGCACCCTTAGCGAAATAAATGCCTGCTTCATGGAGGTCCAACCTGAGGACTCAAGAAGGAATATGACTCCGAGCAACTCACTGGACTTCCTCTAAACATTGTCATTCTGAATTTGAAATTTGAGAAGGCCTTCATAGAGAATCCTCTATTTCCTAGCTTAGTAGACTTTGGTGTTCACTTTAGTTTTACTAGCCCGTCGCTCTTCGTATTCCGTCAGTCGTCGTAGATTGAAACCAAGCCTGTCAGCCATAGTCGCCATGAAGACGACGCAGACGGTGCTACTGCTGTTGTCAGTGTTCCTCCCATCGGCAATCTCCGTTCCCACGCCGTTGACATGTCCTCTAACAGGAAAACCGCCTAGCGTTCCGAAGATTCCGTCCGCTCGCTGTCTCGATGCAGCAAAATCGTCGTGCTGCCAGGACTGCAGCGACTTCAGCTACGCGCTGAACCTCCTCACAGCAGACGTGACTAAGCTTGTCAGCGACATGAATCCAGAATACGCGAAATTCGTGCCTGAAGGCACCGAAATTCAGGTACTTGGGCTCTGAGCGACACAGAGGGACTGTCATGGTCGTGACGCAGTGAGTACTAGCAACATGTCACGCTAATGCTTGGTTTACCTGGTGATTCTGTCTTGCAGTTCTGCAGCATGTTTCAGGGGAAGGAGACTTGTTCATTACTGGTGGAAAGCTTGATTTGTGCTATAACCTGCAATCCAGGTACGATACATTCGTGAACACGTATAATGATAAAAAAAAAGGTTCGCAATCTTTCAGATTACCTGTACCATTCTCTCCGAGCACGACAAGAAGCTCATTTTTTCTCCTGCTTTTTCGCCTGACACCACTTCTCCCAGGTTCCAGCAATTATGTGACATCAAACAATGGAGCTGTAACGGTTACAGTCTGCGAAACAACGGCGAACCGAGTCTACGACGCCTGCTCCGGACTTACGTGTAAGCCTCCTCTGATTACATGCTCTCGTGCCGAATGCAGAGCGGTAACGAAGATTTGCTCGATCCAGATACAGCTGGTCGCTACTTGGCTGGCCTGTGTATTGTACATGCATATTTTACCCTCCTCGTGCGAGTCTGCTTCTTTGGATCAGTGGCGTGCTCAAGCATCAGATGTTCCTCGTTTGCAGATATCCTGGTCCCGTGATATTGACGGGCTGTTCAATATGTTCCTAGCCTCCCCAACATTCTTTCAGACAACAACTTTCCGCTAAGCTCACTGATCAAGGACGCGGGAGGGTTCATGTCAGGTGCCATGACAAGCATCGTGAAGATGGCAACAGGGCTCAAAGACGTGACCATCAACGTCGACAAGGTGGGTAGCATCACTGCTTCGAACCGTAATGAAATTAGCTGGTGTTTCTTTTCAGTTTTATTGAATGCTTGCAATCCCGAAAAATCTGACAGTGCTGATGGGTATGACCATCAGTATTGACCAGACTAGAGCCGGTCGTCTTTAAACTGGCTCTACCTAATTCTAGGGCCCTTTCGTATCTTTTCTACCTGATGGTCTAGCTCGTCTCGAGGCTTCTGCTACTTCTCTGCACCAGCTTTTTGAGACACACCAGCATCCAGGGGTGCCAGTATCACTCCACGGGATCAGAGTGTTAAGTGTTCTCCTATTCTCAAATAACCTGTGCACCTTATCTTATTCTACTCCCCCTGTCTCCAGACAAATGGCAAGTGTTACAGTGGTCCCAAGGCGCTTCCAGAGTCCACCTCTTGCTGCGACAACATGACTGTGCCTGGAAACTGCCCTGCTGGCGTGGTTGACGCCAACCAGTTCAGCCAATCACTTGGGAAGATTAAGAGCACTGCATTGTGTGGAAATGCTACAGCGCAGAGCACCCAGGCTGCATCCCCACCACCGCCTCCAAAGAGTGCTAATGTTGCCACTGTTTCCCTTGTGACGCTAGTGTGCATGCTTGCAGGCATGATGCTGATTTGAAGACGTTCCACTGGCTCGATGAACACAGTAGAGTCGGCAGTTTGATTGGCTGTTGCTTGCAACTTAACTTAATGCAATTTTCAGACAGCACCTTCCGCAACTCCATTTGCCCTTTCCATGAGCATGTTTGCTCTTACCTCCCATGCAGCTTGGGTCCCCTTAACACCTATTCAGTAATCCCTTTTTTTCCCCCATTAGACTCTGAAACACTATGCAGACAACACATGGGCTTTGACCCTAGTTTCTATTAAAAATGAGGAATGAATGAACTAGGTCAAAGTTTGGTACAAGTATGAAACCCTGAAGGGGCTATACCCCATATTGGCTACTCCACTACAGCCTACACATATGCAACACATATATGATTTGACACACCCCCATAGGCTAAGTGGAGGAGAGCAGGGGTTCACAAGAACAGTCAAGAAAAGCAAAGCAAGCTCAGGGTGGATCACAACGTCATCACATACACTAAGCAAAAGCAAAGAGTCACGAAGCCAATTCATATATACCAACAACAGCACAGCGATCACTACCTAGCAAGAGCAAGCATGCAGATATATGTATATATATATAGACCACAGTACACGCGAAGTCTACAGCAAGTGAGGAAACGTAGGCACAAGGCATAACAAAGTACAAAAGCGCTGATGATCACAAGACGGAAGTGCCTTGGTGAATATATCAGCAGTGTTGGCCCGAAGTGGCCACGTGAGCAAGACGAAGCTGACCACGCTGCTGCAACTCTTCAGCAAGGAAGTAACGCAGAGCGATGTGCTTCGTTTTGTGCTACAGTCTATGCTCCTGACACGTACAGAACTGGAGGAGAACGAGGCCGCTCTCCCAAGTCGATCAGCAGGTAGGTGAGCCAGCGTAGCTCATGTGCAGCCATGGCTGTGACGTAGATCTCAGTTTCACAACTGGAGCTGAGAACAGAAGACGAGCGTGTAGACCGCCACAGAACAGAGCCAGAGCCAAGACTGAACGTGTAACCCTGTGACGACCGCTGCGTAGCTAGGTCGTCAACCGAAGAAGCGTCTGAGTGCCCAGTGAGGACAACTGGACTCCGCCCTCCAAGCACGAGCCCCATGCCCGATGTACTGCACAAGTAGCGCAGTACCCTCTTAGCAGCATCCATGTGCACCTTTCGGTGCCTACCAAGAGCCACGTAGCAAGCCAGAAGGCCAAGAGGGTACGCAAGGTCAGGTCGACTGCAGGGCATCAGGTACATGATGCAGCCCACTAGCTCTAGGTACGAACCACTCGGCTCTACGGACTCGTCCGAAGGTGGAGCTGAGAGCGAGTGGCGCGTAGCCAGAGGAGTGGGCTGTGGCGAGGACTAGGTGAAGCCGAAGCGCTGAAGGACCTCTTGTATCATGTGTGACTGAGTCAGTGTGATCGTGCGCCGTGCTCTGTCCCGGGTGATCTGCAAGCCAAGGTAGCTGCGCAGCTCACCCAGGTTTGTGCACGTGTGTCTCTTCTGCAGCTCCTACTTCACCAGGGCGAGAGCCTCAGTGTCAACAGTGGTAAAGACCAAGTCGCCGACGTACACGAGGATGTAGAACGGCGGCAACGAAGTGTCGGTGCGCAGAAACAGCGACGGGTTAGCAGTAGAAGAGGCGAACCCAAGAGCTGCAAGTGTCCTTCTCAGTGTGTCGTGCCACTCACAAGGCGCCTGGCGGAGACCATAGACTGGCCGACAGAGGCTCCACTGGGTACCAGGAGGGAACAACCCAGTGAAGCCAGGTGGGCGGGGCAGCCAGATCTCCTCGTGCAGACTGCCCTGTAAGAACGTTGTGCTGAAGTCAAGAGAGTGAAGCTCGCAGTCACGCTGAACGGTGACGTGCAGCAGCACCCGAAGAGTGGTCATCTTCGAGGTGGGGAAGAAGGTCTGGAAGAATTCAACTCCCTGTCGCTGACTGAAGCCTCGTGCAATGTAACGAGCCTTGAAGACAGGCGGAGAACCCGGCGGCCGCTTCACCCTGAAAATCCACATGCCATCGACGATGTTCGCCCCAGGAGGGGGAACCTCATTGACGTAAGTGCCTGTGGACTTCCAGGATGCCATGTGAGAAGACTGAAACGAGAATGAATGAACTATGAAAGAGGTGAGTACAAGTACTAACCCTAATTGGGTTGTACCCCCTATGGGATACCCCACTACAGCCTACACAAATGTATAAGCTATATAACATTCTGACACACCCCCATAGGCAAATTGGGGGAGAACAAGGGGTCACAAGACCAGTCCAGCAAAGCAAAGCAAGCTCAGGGTGAATCTCCAAGTCACCACACAGTCTGAGCACAAGGTCAAGGCCACAAGGCCAGTTTGTCAGACTATATAGCTTACTTATTTGTGTAGGCTATAGTGGGGTATCCCATAGGGGGTACAACCCAATTAGGGTTTCCTATTTGTACTCACTTCGTTCATACTCATTTCATTCTCGTTCAATTCTTCTCATGGAATCAGAGCAGGTCCCCTCCTAGGGACTGTTCCTAGGGCCCACCGAAGCGCGCCCCGAGGCGCGCGTTCTTTTTTTTAGCGACCTTGCGTGTCGCCCCTACTGTCGCGCTCCCGCCGCTCCCTCCTCTTACAGCCGCCCGCCCTAGTGCCCTGACGGCCGCCCGCTCTAGCGCCCGAGCGCCGCCCGCCCTAGCGCCCGAGCGCCGCCCGCCCTAGCGCCCGAGCGCCGCCCGCCCTAGAGCCCTGACGGCCGCCCGCCCTAGCGCCCGAGCGCCGCTCGCCCTAGCGCCCTGACGGCCGCCCGCCCTAGCGCCCGTGCGCCACTCGCCCTAGCGCCCTGACGGCCGCCCGCCCTAGCGCCCGAACGCAGCCCGCCCTAGCGCCCTGACGGCCGCCCGCCCTAGCGCCCTGACGGCCGGCCGCCCGCCCTAGCGCCCGAGCGCCGACCGCCCTTTCGCCCTTACGGCCGCCCGCCCGAACGCCTGAGCGCCGCCCGTCGTCGCCCCAACGCCCTAGCGCCCGACGCCCGCGAGCCGCCCGTCGCAGCCGCCCGTGAGCTCCCTGAGCCGCCCGCGCCGCCGTCCCTGAGCCGCCTGTGCAGCCGCCCGCGAGCCGCCAGCGAGCCGCCCGTCGCGACACCAGCGCCGCACGAGCCGCCCGTACAGCCGAGCCGCCCGAGCCGCCCGCGCCGCCCCAGCAACCCGAGCCGCCCGAGCCGCCCGAGCCGCCCGAGCCGCCCGAGCCGCCCGAGCCGCCCGCGCCGCCCCAGCAACCCGAGCCGCCCGAGCCGTGCCGCTGTTCCTGAGCTGTGTTCCTCTGCTGCTGACCTACCCGACTCTCCCAGCCCGGTGAGACTTTCAGCTGCTGCCATGGCCACCCCCAATGTTCTTACTTTTGACGCTGAGGGGAGGGCCATTGACTTTGCCGTCTGGATTGAAGACCTGCAGCTGTACTTACTGTGTGATGCGATAGATGAGGTCTCTCTCTTTGACTTTGTCTCTGGCGCTGTCCCTGCCCCACCTGCTGATGCTGACTCTGCCGTTCGCTCCAAGTGGGCGACCCGCGACGCTGCTGCACGTCTTGCTGTGCGTCGCCACCTCCCTTCCTCTGAGCGTGCCCACTTTAGTCAGTGCAAGACCGCTCAGGCCTTGTACGACGCTGTAGTTGCACGCTACTCCTCCCCTTCCTCCGCTACCCTTAGCCGCCTCATGCTACCGTTTCTCTTCCCTGACCTCGCCTCCTTTCCCACTGTTGCTGACCTCGTTACCCACCTCCGTGCTAGTGACACCCGCTACCGCGCTGCCCTTCCTGCTGAGTTCCGCGCTGCGAACCCTCCTCCCATGTACATCACTCTCTACTTTCTCGTCACCCGTCTCCCTGAGTCCCTTCGTGTCGTTAGGGACCAGTTTCTCTCTGTCTGTCCCACCACTCTCACTGTCGACCTCCTTGAGGAGTCCCTGCTAGCGGCTGAGAAGAGTATTATCGCTGTAGGGGCCTCTCGGGGTGACCCTCGCACCCCCATCTTTGAGGGGTGTGGTCCTTCCCCCCTGCTGCCCTCTGTCGCCTCTGCCGCTGCGGCCGACCTCACTGGTTTTGAGTCGGTCGGCGCGGCGTCTGCCCCCAGCGGCAGACGCCGCTCTGGCAAGGGCAAGGGGGGCAAGGGAGCGGGTGGAGCTAGAGGGGGCGGTGGAGGAGGCGGTGGGGGTGGCGGGGGGAGTGGGGGTGGCGGTGGGGGTGGTGGCGGGAGTGGAGGTACTGGTGGCGGCGGTGGAGGCGGAAGTGGCGGCGGCGGTGGTAGCGGAGGAGGCGGTGGGAGCGGTGGGAGCGACGGTCCTGGTGGGGGAGGTGGCGGTGGAGACGGGGGTGGCGGTGGAGGCGGGGGTGGCGGTGGAGGCGGGGGTCGGAGTGGCTCGTCCCAGCGGAGCAGCTCTGGGGGTGGTCAGCGCCAGCAGCAGCAGCAGCAGCAGCCGCAGCAGCAGCCACAGCAGCAGCAGCGCTCTTGCATTGTCCCCGCCCCTCAGCAGCTCCGTGAGTGGTACTTGCAGCGTCAGCGTGGTGGTGCGCTTGGTCCCTGCCCCTACGTTCTTCGCACCAGTGACCGTGCAGGGGAGAGGTGTGGAGGCGCCCACACAGCCCGCCGCTGCTTTGGCCGCCTGACCGACGCCTGGCGTCAGCAGTTTCCGGAGGCCGCTGAGATCCCCCGCTGGGGAGAGCTGTCTAGGGCTGGTGTAGCTATTTATGATCTTGATTTTGATGCTATTCTCGCTGCTATGTATGCTGTGACTGGTAGTGATGAGGATGACTGTTACCGGTGTTTCCCGCCCGACCCGGGCATTGGTACTGCCGCGTCAGGTACTAGTGAGGCTGCTGCTCTAGGTGCCAGCGGTCTGTGCTCTCAGGTGCTGGTGAGTCTGCCCTCTCAGGTACTGTGTCGGCTTCGGCCTCTCACACCTTCACCCTTGATTCTGGAGCGTCTCGCTCCTTCTTTAGGGACCGCACCACTCTCACGCCGCTGAGTCGGCCGGTTGCGGTGTCCCTG